TGTTCCAGAAAGACAGACACACTCTTGCCTACGATAAGGGTTGGAGAATACGTACAGAATTTAAACAGTATCAGGTACTATCTCACGTATTTTATTGCAATATCAATCTTTGCGTGTATCTTATTTATGCATGTGAAAATATTATATTTTTTATATGTAATTGCAGGTCTTAAAACAAAATCCATTCTGGTGGACCCATCAACGTCATGATGGTAAATTATGGAATTTAAATAATTACCGAACAGATATGATACAGGCTCTTGGCGGTGTAGAGGGTATTTTGGAACATACTCTCTTTAAAGGGACATACTTCCCAACATGGGAAGGTCTCTTTTGGTAAGATTTTGTAATTTTTTGAAATCATAATAGGGAATAACTTAGTTAACTTGGCAGAGAATTAATAATCGTGAATATAAACATGCAATTAGCTTTGCAATTAGTTTTGTAAGCAAAACAACACTGCAAGCCAAAGAGTGAAAAAACAGATTTAATAATTGCAAATTTAAGTGTACATACATACTTTACTCGTTTAATATATGTATCCATGTTTATTGAAACAAAGAAGATTGATTTCTTCTTTCTTCGCTTTCCTTCTCTTTTAGTTTTAATTTATTTCAAAATTTTAAAATTGGTAAAAGAATCCATAGTTTGTTACTTGTCGTTTCTTTTACTTAGGGAGAAAGCATCTGGATTCGAAGAATCTATGAAATATAAGAAACTGACTAACGCTCAAAGGTCTGGTTTAAATCAAATTCCAAATCGTCGATTCACTTTATGGTGGTCACCAACTATTAACAGAGCAAACGTGTACGTTGGTTTTCAGGTAATATTTCATCATGTTAATGGATTATAATTATTTGATGGATCATAATCAGAGGTATATTCTTGACATAAGTGGATCGTTTATTTATCATTAGGTACAACTGGATTTAACAGGAATATTTATGCATGGTAAAATTCCAACGCTAAAGATTTCGCTAATTCAAATATTTCGTGCTCACTTGTGGCAAAAAGTACACGAATCGATAGTGATGGATCTTTGTCAAGTTTTCGATCAAGAATTGGATGCATTGGAAATCGAAACTGTTCAAAAAGAGACCATTCATCCTAGAAAATCGTACAAGATGAATTCTTCCTGCGCCGATATTTTGCTTTTCTCTGCATATAAGTGGAATGTCTCTAGGCCATCGCTACTCGCTGATTCAAAGTAAGTAGTCACATTTTTTTTAGCTTTCTATATAAATTTTGTATTATCGTGCTTAGAACTGAGCTCAGTATCTATTATTAATAATTCATTCCTTTAACAGAGATCTTATGGATAATACTACCACACAAAAATATTGGATAGATGTACAGCTTAGATGGGGAGATTATGATTCTCACGATATTGAACGATATGCTAGGGCCAAATTTTTAGATTACACAACAGACAATATGTCTATTTATCCATCACCAACAGGGCTATTAATTGCTATCGATTTGGCTTATAATTTACATAGGTATATATTTTTAAGTATTTGTATTCAGTAACGCTATACTGAAATTCGCAGAAATTGACTGATCGATGATTATTGAGGAATAATGTCTCTCCATTGCATCAACTGTTCATTCCATAATTGTCTTATTTTGTTCGTATACTTCGGATACAGAGTCGGAATGCATTCTCTTTACTGGAATGCATTCCTTGAAAGTCAAATGGACAAATTGGAACGCGCGTGTTAGAGTCAAAAGACGGTAGGCGATTTTTCCTCCATCGCTACTCGAAAAAATAATCGTAACCGGTCAATATCCGTGAATACAAATGTATTATCAACTGCAGGAATATCTTGTAAACATAGCAATTTTGTTTATTAGCGCCTATGGTAACTGGTTCCCAGGATGTAAGCCTCTTATACAGCAAGCAATGGCAAAAATAATGAAGGCTAACCCGGCTTTATACGTATTAAGAGAACGCATTCGAAAAGCATTGCAACTTTATTCATCGGAACCTACAGAACCATATCTATCTTCACAAAATTATGGGGAACTCTTTTCAAATCAAATTATTTGGTATTTCTATCTCTTTTTATATATTTTCATTAGTATGAAACAAAAATATACATTTATATTAAAGATCTTTCATTTTTCGAATCTATTAGGTTTGTCGATGATACTAACGTTTACCGTGTTACAATTCATAAAACATTTGAAGGTAATTTAACGACAAAGCCTATAAATGGAGCTATCTTTATTTTTAATCCTCGGACTGGCCAATTATTTTTAAAAATTATTCATACTTCTGTTTGGGCTGGTCAAAAGCGTTTAGGTCAGGTACGTAATATGCATTCAGCATACTCATTATAATTAAATTTGAAAATTATATTATATTAAAAAAATAGTTAATGTTTTTAAAATTGCGTCTTCATGTAACAGTTGGCAAAATGGAAAACTGCTGAAGAAGTAGCTGCACTTATTCGATCTTTACCGGTTGAAGAACAACCTAAGCAGATTATAGTAACGAGAAAGGGAATGTTGGATCCCTTGGAAGTGCATTTACTCGATTTTCCGAACATTGTTATAAAAGGATCGGAGCTCCAATTACCATTCCAGGCTTGTTTGAAAGTCGAAAAGTTTGGTGACTTAATATTGAAGGCAACAGAACCTCAAATGGTGTTATTTAACTTGTATGATGATTGGTTAAAAACTATTTCATCGTACACGGTAATTATTATTAATAAATGTTTTCCTCTTCTTCTTCCATCTCTGTTTATTTTTATCCTATTATGAATTATGAATCATTTTATTTATTTATTTATTTATTTATAGGCTTTCTCACGTTTGATTCTTATCCTTCGCGCATTACATGTCAACACTGAGAGAACAAAGGTTGTTTTAAAACCTGACAAGACAACCATAACAGAACCACATCATATATGGCCTTCTTTAACAGATGATGAATGGATTAAAGTCGAAGTACAATTAAAAGATCTTATTTTAGCCGATTATGGTAAAAAGAACAAGTACGTACAATATCTGATCTTTTTCTTTCTTTATAACAATATGTACAAAGTATGACTGTAGAGTAACTGGAAATTTTGTATTGGTCTCAGTGTAAACGTTGCATCGCTGACACAGTCAGAAATTCGAGATATCATTTTGGGTATGGAAATTAGTGCACCATCTGCACAACGTCAACAAATCGCTGAAATAGAAAAGCAAACAAAAGAACAATCGCAGCTTACAGCGACAACTACACGAACAGTAAATAAACACGGGGACGAAATTATTACAGCAACAACTTCTAATTACGAAACGCAAACGTTTAGTTCTAAAACTGAATGGCGAGTAAGAGCAATTTCAGCTACTAATTTGCATCTTCGGACCAATCATATATATGTATCGTCTGATGACATTAAGGAGACTGGTTACACTTATATTTTGCCAAAGAATGTTCTTAAGAAATTTGTTACCATTTCGGACTTGAGAGCGCAGGTATGTCTCTCTTATGAAATAATTGATTTAATAAGTATACATATATGTACAGCTCAATATCAGAGAAATTACGGATAATATCTAATTAATCTTTCCTTTTTCTTCTTTCTCTTTTATATAGATCGCGGGGTACTTATATGGGATTAGTCCACCAGATAATCCACAAGTTAAAGAAATACGATGTATAGTTATGGCTCCACAATGGGGTACCCATCAAACTGTTCATTTGCCTAATACACTTCCGAATCATCAATATCTCAAAGAGATGGAGCCTCTTGGTTGGATTCATACTCAACCTAACGAGTTGCCACAATTGTCACCGCAGGTTAATATTATATTGTTGGATACATGTTTATTAAACGAATTTGGTTTAAGGCTATTCTTTGTTCTATGATACATTGTATTATATATTGTGTTAATACGGCATTATTTTATTAGGATATATCTACGCATGCTCGAATAATGGCAGAAAATCCAATTTGGGATGGAGAAAAAACTATCGTTATTACTTGTAGTTTTACGCCAGGATCTTGTTCTCTCACGGCATACAAATTAACACCTAGGTTCGTATTTCGAACAAAATGTGGTTGTTTATCATTATCTTTAAATATCTCGCGATTCCTCTGATTGTTGTCAAACTATACATATGTTTATGTTTTAGTGGCTTCGAATGGGGAAAGCAAAATACCGACAAAGGAAATAATCCTAAAGGTTATCTACCGAGTCATTATGAAAAAGTACAAATGTTGTTGTCTGATCGTTTCCTTGGATTTTTCATGGTTCCAAGTCAAGGGTCTTGGAATTATAACTTTATGGGTAAGATATATGTGGTTGATTTGATTACTCTCATTTGTTGATAACTGAATATTATACTTTACAATCTTATCATTATCTTTTTCGGTAATCACAGGTGTGAGACATGATCCAAATATGAAATATGAGCTGCAATTGGCGAATCCGAAAGAATTCTATCACGAAATTCACAGACCTGCCCACTTTTTGAATTTCTCTAGCTTGGAGGATGGAGAAGGCGTTGGAGCCGATAGAGAAGATGTATTTGCATAAATGGATGAAAGCGAAAGAAGGGACCGAGGTGTAATGAATTATGGAGTTCATGGCAAAGCAACGATGACATTTACCTGTTTAATACAAACAATACAGTTTATAACAAAGTTGGAAACTCATAGTACATGATGTTTGATAAATAGGTTCGGTATAGTATTACTTTATATATTAATTACTTTGTACTGTATTTTAATAGCTTTGTAGAATAAAAAAAAAATATATATATATATAATGTGTGTTTAATTAGATGTACAACATGTATAGTATACATATAAGAAAAATGTACAAAATGTTTATCATATTTAACATAATAAGAATAGCAAATAATATACATTTTGATATACATAACAATGCGATATTGTTACTTTCTTATTTTACAACATAAAATTCGATGAAATTTTCGTCATATTGATCATTGAATAAAATTATAACTATTAGAACTTATATATTATAAGAGAAAAGAGTGTCACTATAGTAAAGTAACCCTAATTTATTCGTACAATATCTCGGCGATAGAATGATATTAAACTTGAAAATTTCCAAAGATTCTTAATTTATATTTGCATATTCTTGGCGGTGATTACAACTTTCTATACGATATAAAATAAAAGTTGAACGCTTCATATGCAAATATCGAACAATCATACGGTAGTAAGTTTGAACGTTAGAAAGACAGCCCACTAACGATGACTAGATATGCTCCGATAAAATATACATTCAACATTTCTTCGTTTCTTCATCAATCGATTAAGTATTCAACGCGAATCGAATATTAAGCGAGTCAACATTTACGACAAGCACCAACTAATAACATTTTTCGAAGTTTCCTTCTTTTCCTATATTATTTTTATTGATTTATTTTATTTTTTATCGATTTCCATTCCGTTTCAGTTCGATACGTTCTGTTTCATTTCAATTCAATATAATTCGCTGCATTATTTTTGTCACGGTTTTCATGTGAACGTAACGAATGTGATATGTGAATGAAGTTAAACGAAGAAAATTGTGATGTTTTTGCGAAAAATAGTCGCATGGGCCATACGTATTTATGAATCGCGCAAACATCAAAGTACACATATATTTAAATCTTTCCAGGCTAATTGTGATTCTTGTTAATTCATAACAATTGCTTTGCCGGGAGAAGATTCATTCGAATAGGGATCGATTTTCTCCTGAAACTGTGTCGTCGTCGTCAATGTGCAAGTACGAGATGTCGCTGAACTATGACAAGCACTGCGAGTCGAGTTTCTTGAAAGAATGTTTTTTCTGTGACAACTGAATCTTTTTAATAACAGTCGTTTGACTTTATCTTTCCAAACGAAAATTAAAAAGATGAGTACACCTTGCAAAGTATTGGTAAGATCTGTAAGATACCAAATGTAAGCCGGTGAATTGTTGCAGAGCCATGATATTATTTCCATTGACCAATTAATGCCCATTACGATGAAGAGTTTCAAATATAGATTGAACCTGAATAAAACGAATTAAAATTAAAATATGGTAAAGTGAAAAATTAAAGTAGTTATATGTGTGTATATATATTACAGGAGTTCCGCGGATGTGGCTAGTAATATGCGAAGTCGGCATTGTCAAAGATCGCAAAGAAATTAGTTACTGACAATACCACTGACAGTGGACAATGTCAATCTTGCTATTACAACGGCATATGTTCAACTACTTCTTCTACTTTGCCAGATGGCAGTGTGTATATGTGATACTGACAATGTTCTGGCGAAATTGAGCTTGTATATCATGCGAACTGCGCCCGTAAGCGCATGTATAACGTATATGTTTTCGTATACGGTATCCTAAAATCTTATACGCGCAATCTTATCTATGAATAACGTTGTAGAAAGAATTTGAATGATACATGTTTTGTAATACGTATTCCAAGTATGTAGTAGCAGCTGGTACGTAGATGTAAACGATGGCAAGTTTGAAAGATGAAATGTGCGATCGCGAGCGAGACCCTGTTCGGACGGATGTATTTGTTACGTGAGAGGGACCCGCCTCTTCCGTCATTACGAAAACAAATCGAACCATGGGAAAATCTTTGTTTTACGCGTTCCGAGAGAAGGTCCGAAAATAATTTTATCGACATAGGCGTATAATAAGGGGGATAACGTCCAATTACATCGATGTAATTAAAGGAAAGGAAACAAAATGTCGCGATTTTGTAATTACAGAGCTATTCTATCTTCATAGTGGTAGTTTAGTGTTACTTGTAGATAAGTAAGAAAATTGAGTAGCTTTCAAACGGAAAGAACTTTTCAATTTCATTGCGTAAACGAATAAAAAAGAAAACGTACCATTGTTTATTGTCGTCGTGACGCCTACTGTCTATGCTTTTAAGCTGTTGAGCAGTATTCTTTTTATGTCGCACGATCTTCAACGCCGTGGAGATGAAAAGGCATATGTTGCAAAACACAGTAGCGCCCATTGGCGCGTAAAAGTATATCGCCCTTGCCTTGTTAGCTGTAACAGTATCGAAATTATAAAAAATTAGAATCAAATTATCGAGACTAGGTTTATGACCACTTACTGGTAAACCAGCAATTATGTTTGCCAAATTGTGGCTTGATAAAATGCTCTGGAATGTCAGGAAGGAAGTCCATAATGGCACAAATTCCGGTGAGTAGCGATGCGCAACCCCAAGCGTAAACGGAGTATATTAAAAACTTTTTTCGCTCCCTTTGCTTCACGCTGCCATGTAGAGATCGGAAACCTCTGAAAATCAGGAATCCCTGGATAAGAAAATGTGGAAAACCGACAAAAAACGAAAGCAAATAGAATAAAATAGAAAAGAAAAGTTGACACACTTTCACTTTCAGGTTTCAAATTAGTTTCGACATATAGGATATATGATACGCGCAAGTTGTGGTTCCGGATGACGTATTTCGTATTTCGTACTTATCGCATCTTACGAAAGTGAGATTTTAACTCTTCGTTTTTTAGAGGCACAGCATAAAAACATAACGGTTTTACCTTTCTTTAACACGATCGTGATATCGAAATCATGATTTCCGTATTCTATTCCGTTTCGTCTCATTTTACCCTATTTATTCGAGCTTCGTTCGAGTACATGTTGGAAAATAAAAACGCAATTCGATTCATTGGAATTTTTCAAGAGATGTACGCGCAACTGATCGACACGATCGAAAACAAAGAAGAAGAATAAAGAAAGCGAAAAATAAAAAACAATTGCAAATAGTCGTAAATGAAAGAAATAGACGATTTGTAGAATTAGAATTGGAATTGGTTTGTTCATTCGTTCGTTGAGGTTAACTTTATCGGGAAAAAATAATTGCGAACAGATGGGTGATATTTGCGAAAAGATATGAGGAGCGAGTATTACGGATATATCGTCCGAATTAAGTGCGGAGGTAATTTGTGATTGATGGCGAGTGATGTCACTGGTGTCCGCACACGTATGTGTGTATGTATATTGTATATAAGTAAGTATATATTATGTATATGATCACATCAGCCGAATCGAGGTCATTAAATAGGGGACGACATGGGTACCCGTAACGCACCGCGTAGTCACGCCCTTAATTATACTCGCACACATCTACGTATCTCTACTTACTTAAATTTATGTATATAATAAAAAGGGCTTGGCAAAAAGAGCAAGTACACGTGTGTACTACGAACGACCATTCGTAGTATTACGATTACACATGCGCTACAAATGATATGAAAATGTAGTATAGTGGTTAGAATTTTCGGGCGCGACATTCTCGTCACGCGATTCTCTTCTTGAAACGTTATTCTATTCGCGGAACGTTTAAAAATACCGATATGCCTATACAATGACTATAGAATGTGTGATTTCGTCGAAAAAGCGAATTCCATAGAATTCGACAAATGAAGGAAAGTTGAAAAGATAGCCGACAATAAATAACGTAACATTATCGTACGGTAATCTTCTCAGCTGATGTGAGAAGAAAATTCAGACGTTGATATATCGTTACGTATCATAGTCTAATATAAAATAATCTACAGTGCGTGTTGCGATTAACAACTGGAAATCTGTTTGGGACATCTGTAAAACATGTAAATCATGCGAATCATGTAATAGTTGCTTATCCATTGATTTTATTTTCGAAAATTAAAATTCCTTCCACTTTCGTGTTTTATCGTAGTTTTAATATTTGCAAAATATCGGAATCGATATCGGCACGTACACATCGTACATATACATACACATAACAGTATACGCGTACTATGTGTGTATATCGACACTATGTGGCATTAGCATGGCATGGAAGTGGCGTCGGTATGGCGTCGCGTCGGTGTGGCGTCGGCGTCGGTGTCGAGGAAAAGAGCAATTCCGAGCTTTCGAGGTTTGTTTAGAGAATACGCCACGATTTGTTTGCTGTACACCTGGCGCTTTACAGATATATATGTAGGTAGAGCTGCTACTTTTATAAGAATTCGTTCCGGCAAGTAGAGATCGTTATTTGCGATTTTTAACACGCAATCGTTTCGCTCCTATACGCGATTCTACCACTTAAATACGCCCGTCATTGTCGTTTTAATATAGCGAAATAAACGAATGAAATAAATTTAATATAGCGGAATAAATGAATTTTAGATGGTTATCATAATAGTAACAAGTTGGGAAAAATGGTCTGTATACGAAGAGACAAGATCGGATCGATCGAAAATTGGAACAGAGAACAGAGAAAAGACATGTTATCATTATTGTTGTCATCGTTGACATCAACGACAATGTGAGACATTAAATCGATACGTCATGGACGGAGACGTCTAAGTAGTAAAAGTACTCGAAAAAGGAGCCACTTCCACTTCGTGGACCGATCGAACTTAATTTAAGAATGTTTGCAAAGTGTACACGTGCCGTCACGAACCGGATATTAATTCGCGTTTATGCCGCTATCAATTTTCTTCGACGTTCGTCAACTATCGAATTGCTTTAGCTAGAAGGCTAATAGGAGATATAATAGTATTTGTAATACGTTTCACGGCACGTATACCATCGATTACAATAAGCTTTTAACGATTAAACGGTCATAAGTTGTAAGCTTGCTAGTCAAATTACACTTTAGTTTGTCGTACTTAGACTCGGCTTAACGCCATCGAATCAAGAAGAAATGTTGAAGATGAAGAAAGACTTGGAATCGATATGTAAATGATCCAAGCCTTACATACATACGTAAATATAACTTACCCGAAAGTCCACCAAATATCAAAACACATAACGTTCAACCAGAAGAAACTGGCCAAGAAAGAGAAGTGGATGATGAACGCTGAAACAGAATTCGATTTAAGTACACCGTCCATAGAAATGCATTTGTCATATAATACACAGTATGAATTTATAGAGCCACTAAACGAGTGAACATAATTAATAAAAGAATTGCGAAGAATAGAGTAAGATGTATAAGCATGCGGATAAATATGGGAATACCCACGTTGTGCTACGGACGTACGGACTAAAATAATTGCGTTACGTAATTAGAAACAATGGTAAGGTGGAGGAAAGGTAGAATAAGAAGCAGCGTAGAATATCGAGAAAATGACGGTAAACTGGTTAAAATCGGTATACGACGAGTACCAAATACGATGCAAAGAGTATCCGAAATCTGTTGCTGCGGAGTCATCTGTACGACCGCGAGTATCACATAGGCGATCAGCAGAGAACCGACATAGCTACGAAGCGTACGGCCGTGTATATTCTTCCATTCTGGTATCAATATGTAAGCGACAAACGTAGCAAACAAGAATGGCACCGATATGATTAATCCAACAGGAAACAGTACTGTGATTTTCGTCGTTTCCTGCGTATCCTCGTTCTCGCCCAAATTGAAACAAAGAATCACATCGAACAGTTTGGTATCGAAGATACCAAAACAATAGTCGACATCTCGGAGAATATCACCCTCGTTTTTCATATAGATCGAACCATTGTCGAGAACCATGAACTCATCCATCGGATTCGCATTCGGGTCAAGTTTATAGCGTTGACGATTGGTGCAAGGATTGTTAACGATCAATTTGAAATAGCGTTGATAATTCGGTGCCTTGTCAATTAAGGACAAATTGTTGGAATCGTAAAGAGCCGGGAAGCGAAAGGTGTCATTCGTTCTGATGCATCCATCCTTGCTCAAACGATATCCGTACGAGCAACACATAAACAGACTTACTCCTCCAGCGTGACTGGCCGACTCGGTCGAATAGTCAACGCTTTCTGTACTTGGTATCGTAGAAATATTTCTCTCCTCTTTGATGTACTTCTTGTTCGATCGGGACAATTCCGGTTGCTCACTACTTTCCACTTTCATCGTTGATCCATACGCGATGTGTTCTCGACGAGGAAACATTGTTGTATCATGGAGTTGCGTGGATCGTTGTCCCATCGGGTGTATCGCGGGTATCGTAGATAATAGGCCGATAATCGCCACACGAAACATCTTAGTAGGTAGGTTTTCGCTGAGCAACTGCTTATGAATCGTCCGGATTCGTAATGACCACAGACATTATCGCGTTATGCGGAAACGATATAACGACTGCCAACGTCTACAACGTCTCCTGACCGCGTCACGTTGTAACCGACCGACTACTGCTATGGATTTTGTCGTTTCCTTTTTTTCCTTCCCTTCTCCTGTATTATTCTATATGTCCTTTTTTCCCTCTCCCTTTTTTCTCACTCCCACACCCATTTTGATGCTTCCCTTTCCCTATTTCTTCCTCTTTCTTCTTTTTCCTATCATTCTTTTTGAACTTAAACGTTTCATTTCTGCCCAACAGCCGAAACAAGTTTCAAGGTTACGAATCGAAAGGAATATTAAAGAAAATGTTGGAAGAGACGTAGAGAGAGAGAGAGAGAGTGGGAGATGGGGCAGAATGAGAGGAGGAGGGATAACGCGCGTACGGCGGGAAAGATAACTCGACGAAGATCAAAGATGAATGAGTCGCAAATTATTACCAACGTATACACATGTCAAAGAAGGCAGGTAAAACAAAGCGCGGCAAGTATCTACGTACAATGTACGAACCAACTTTTAGTCAAACAATCCAACCGATCGAGGGCAAGACGAGAAGATCGATCGAGGTACATACCTACGTATACACCAGGATCAAGAACTCCAACACTTATTGGATCGCAGTTGTAGATATCGAGCAGACAGTTCCCACAAGATATTTCGATATTTTTCCGCTCATTATATGTAAATATGTAAATACGTAAATATAGTATAGCACATGCCACGGCAAAGTAGGAGAAAGCAAGATAAATAGAAGATACAGCGAAGACGAAATTCTCATTAGGCAATGCCCGACATGACAAGGATCTTATCGTAAGATAAGAGACAGAGAATTCACGAAACATATGTCGAAATGCAAATTCCGACTATTGATCAAGGATAAATAAAAACTTGTTCAGTTTTGGCAATAGGAAGGAAAAAGGCAAAATAAGAACAATTATCGTCCTATTTGTTTCTGCAAGTACGAAATTGTACAAGTTTTTTCTTTGCCTTTGACCAAACTAATCGTAAGTGACTTGGATAGTTAGTTTGTCTCTTATCAGTTTCTTTCAGACGCGTATCGTCGTTCAGCTAATCTGAGCATCGATAGGACGGTTTTTTAGCAACTTTACGAATCAACGGAAAAACTAGTCCTATCTAGAGTAATAGATAGAATAATAATAGAATATCGATCGTATATCTATTAAATCTACGAACAAAGCTGTAACTAGAACTGAAGCGACGTTATTTCTGTCGTGATCGATCACATTGTTAAACGCATATTATTTACGTTCCGTGATTTCGGAAAACGACATGGAATCACTGTCATCGGGAACGTCAAATCATCGTCGCAGTTATCGTGCAAGATTAATGGAGTACCTTCGAACGAGAACGCTATACGTTCTTGCGTAAATGATCATCACGACATTAACAATAAGCATTTTTCAAACTACCAATGATCATATTCAAACTATTCATTGTTCACGAAACCGGTATCTCTGTTTGACTACAGCTTACATTGTTAATCATCTGTTATTATATTTATGTCGATGAGTTGTAATTTCATTGCCTTGTAATGACAATTGTATCTGATCTTTTGAATACTTTGAAATTACGCTTACGTTATATGTAAATAAAGTCAAAGTATCAAATAAAGATTGACGATAATATATGCATTTACTATTAACATATAAACGCTAAAATGTTGATAAATGTACGTAGATATATATACACCTGTATACTTCATTCTTATAACGAACGTATATCATATGATTCTTTTGCGTCATTTTGTACTTTTCTCGTCAATTCGCTAAAATGATAAGCATTAACTTACAAATTAATTATGGGTACGACTGTACATATACATATACATAATAAATCTATATATATACTTGTATGGCATATAATACGTATATGTATGTAAAGGAAGACACGTGCGTGTGCGATTCCATGATATAGTGAACGATGTCACGCGAATGAGGCATAGTGCTAATTCGATTAATCTTTCGGCGAAAACAATTCTCCAGACTTTCGAAACTGTGATGGAAACCTTGCGAAAAGAACCCATCGAAACTTCTCAAAATAATATACATTTAATGCGTACCTAATAAACGATCAACGTGCAACTCTCATAACAGAGAATTTGATACATTATCTTATTTACTCGCAGTTCCTTCGTCTTGCTTCGACTTTATCGCGAATTCGTAAAAGAAGATTATCATAAAGAAAAAAAAAGAAAGAGAGAGAGAGAGAGGGAGAGGGAGAAAGAAAGAAGGTGTGCCGGAAATTTAAACTGATAGGACAACGATATCATAGCTTTCATACCGTGCGTAATGTTTGATTAATCAAAGAAATCAAAGTACCTAAAAGAGGGGATAATGGTATGGGAAACGAATGAAGAGATAGGGAGAAAAGGAGTACGTGTATGCGCAGGGGATAGAAAAGTATAACGGAAAGAGAGAGAGAGAGAGAGAGAGAGAGAGCGAGAGAAGAAGAAGCAAGCAGCATAAAATAAAATTGCTTACCTATTGTGGAGCAGAAGACAAACTCTAAGTAATGCAGTTTGGCAAAAACAAGACAAGAGTAGGCGAGTATCAAACAAGCCACATAACACATTAGCGTCTTTCCATAGAGATTCCTCAGTTCCGGAATGATCGCATAAACGAAAAAGGTCGCGACAAAGAACGGTATAGAAATAACGATGCCAATGTCGAAAGACTCCTCCGGATCAGAAGAAGCATTTATTATGGACGAATTAGAGGAGCAAATTAGAGCGACGACCTTTTTGGAAGATTCTTGCCAGTCGAAACAGTAACTCCATGCTGCATAGTTGACGGTCGGAGTTTCGAGGGTACCGTTTGGTAGCAGGATGAACTCATCTTCTTCGAAATGTTCTGGTTCGAGCATAAACCTCTGGGGACACTGCATATCCTCCACGAGAAAAAACAGTTCGTCTATACGGGATATTCCTTTAATCTCAGTAGCGAGTTGATGCTGTTTGAGAACGAGAACCGGAGCAGGCAACCCGTTTGATGAGCGAGTACAGTTAGGCCGAATACCTTTCCCTAAAATCTCGTCCTTTTTACAACACTTTCTCAAACATGCTCGCAAATTACATGTGCATCCGTATGTTTTATTTTCAAATACTCGATACAATCCAGCAGGATACACCAACTTATCGTGCACTAAGCTTCCGTTCTCGGATCTATCGATCTTAGTCCCTTGCAAAATAATTTCAGGGAATGGACGACAAAATGAATCTTCTTCTCTCTCCATTTCCTCCCCATTGATTTCTGTTAATCGATAAATTAGAATGAACAAAATTACGCAAATAATCGTGCAAAAATGCCGCATTGTTATTGCCTATTTCCGTGCGTCTTCCCGCGCTCAAGATCGCGCCGCACTGTCTTTCACCCCCTTTCTCTTTCTTTCTTTTTCTTTTCTTTTCTCTCTTCCTTTTCCTTTTCCTTTCCCTATCCCCTTCCCTTTGCCCCTTCCTTCCGACTGTTTCTTTTTCTACCACTTCTTTCTCTATTATCTGCAAGGTGTACGTGTATTTCGATTTCCTAGTTTCTTCCAATTATTTATTTTCCTTTTTTTCAACACCGGCTAACAGCATGCTTTAAAAAATCATCGTTGTTCGCACGATCGTGAAAGTCCACGTTACTTGATGATGTGGTGGTGATCACCCGATGAATCGCAAAGCTCGCGACTAACTGCCCTAAGTATTTTTCGATCCTCTGTTGATCGTAACGCGCGAGCGCGCGCGCGCTCCTCTCAATGCCGAACGAGTACCAGCCGAATACTATGGTATTACGGAATAGCTTCAGTCTCCACTTCCAACTACCCTTTTTCATTTTCTCATTCTGTAACTCGTTCATCAATCTCGATAACATTACAATCGCTAACTAGAGCGCAGCACTTTACTCGAACACATCTAAGCACACCACGCAGATCAATCTGTGTAATGATCAATAATTATTATATTATATCAAGTTAGTTATTGAATTCTACGCTTTGTTTATGACTATATCATTTCTGGTTTCACAATCATACTTTGTTTTAATTTTAATTATTATCACTACCTACCACCGACAAATGGTTAATCTTTTGAAAGTGATGTCAAATTTAAAATTACGCACTAAATTCTAGACACACATACATATGCGATATGTATATAACAAATTTGACAAGTTTCTTTAGAATTTCGTTAACTTTATGTTATATAATAAATGAAAATTATACAAGAAAAGGGGGCAGACTTTACTCTGACTTTTCATCGCATATTCTTTTTGTATTTCTTAATTTTATTCGCATAAGTAACAAAACAATCTTGCTTCATACTAGTAAAATCTGTTATTTTTTTATTTTCTTGCATCCTGAGTAATTAAACAAATTCTCACTTCGGAAATTATCAATCATAAACGAACATAATATTCTTTTCGTCTTATTTGCGCGCTTTGTAAATATAATTATCAATTTTGTACAGCAAGCTAATTTCCCTACTAAAAAGTTACAAACATGCGCTCAACTTATTTGAAATTTGATCTCAAAATGAGTCATTAAATCTTGTCCTCTATTATGTACTAATTCGAAAAGAAATTTGCACTTTTGGTCAAATTAATTTTACGAGTCTCATGATCTTCGCAACACATTATTTATTTTTAAACATCTAAGTTCCTAAAATGAAAATAAAGTGCAAATTAAACTTTAAAGAATATGCTTATATTTTTTCAAATTTTTAAACATGGCGTTTTATCCAAAAATCGGTGTTTATACTTTACAACTTCAGAAGCAAACGACATATGAACGCTGCTTCCAACTTTATCAACTTTCGCTGGTTTCTTTTGAAACTTCCCTAGCTCGTTTGTGGTAATTTCTACGTTTCAATCGCTTTACAATATCCTACACTCTGTACGGTCGTGTACGACCGCGCCGCTCTAAATATTAAATACTTAATAAAACAAAGTTTCTCATTTTCAACAATCGGTATTTCAGTACATATGACAGTAAGAAACATAAGATAGCAGATCTATTCTATACTTGATCCGTGGCCTGTGGCCTGTGCAGGCGTACACATTGGGAATTAATTTCTTTCTATTAAATATTTCAATTTATCGATTCTAAGCGTTTTATTTCGTATATTTGATTAATTTTTCTTCAACTTCAAATGGGTTATATCTATACACAACAATACAATAGTTCCTTTAAAATTCACCCCCTCATCTGTAACGTTCCTCTTTCTTCTTATTATCTCCGTTTATCAAATTATACAGTTCTTAAGTAAACATTATGTTTCAGTTACAATTTCTTTCGTAATGTAGCGATACAATGATGCAATGAAACAAAAAATATAACGTTTACTTCTCTCATTATCAATACTCTTGAGTATATTTTCTAATTGCATAACGTATCAATAATGTTTTAACCTTAAAAAATACTCATAATTTTAACACGTTCGTCGCCACGTCGCACATATTCGTGCAACGGGTATACTTCCGTGGGGGCCCCGTCACCGACGTATGGTGACGCTCCTCTTGTTCGAGTTAATTAAATATACAATATTATATATAGGTTATACAACATAAAAATATTAAAAATACATTGTATCATATTTTTTATTAATTTATTAATAAATTATTAATTTAAAATTAATGATTAATTAATATTAATTTTATTAATTTAAAATATTACATTATGCTATATCTCATGGTATTCGTTAAAACATTCCAAACACATCTGGGGTCATTTTGAGCACTTCGAACAATATGTTGTAGTTCTTTTCATGTTTTTTCTCGCTTCTTCACGCGAGTGGTAAAACTTTTCCAAGTCTGTTACTCTGTTCTATAGTTTCGTTATTCACACTGTTTACTAAACATTTTGAGGATGAAAAAATCACTGATGTACGTCTCACAAGTATGCTTCTCGATTAAATCAAAGATCTGAGATATCTGCCATGAGATCCCTCGGAATACTCTAGCTGGAAAGTTTATCGTTTTCTCCATTTCAGAACTAAATATATTTGTCGGAGATGAAAGAACATCGGGATTTCCCGTCTGGAATGTTGAGAAAACCCCCAATACCCTAGTCCAGACTTTTATTATAGCTACTCTTAAGTAATAAAAATAAGAAATAGTTTTAATGTTCCAATCTGGCTTTATGACGATGGGTTTGGGCTCGAAGTGAAATAGCGGGTCACTGGACGTAACCACAGTCGGATTTAGGCCCCGCAGGAAACATAGCCGAACATTCCTAATTCATATACTGTTTTTATGTAATTGGGGAATATTGTAACGAATTTCGTAAAAGACACTTTTTATCAGTGATGCAAACTACAGTAACTTGCATATACATGTAATATAGGTACGTAAATTCTTCTTTGTAATGTTATGATTTTTTAAAGTAAAGTGAGATTATTACCCCAGTTTTGTACGTGGTACCGATAAAAGATTCGTCAGTTTGGAATACCATTTGTTGAATTGAACGAGATAAATGAGTAATCCAAATGAATTAAGATCGATATGGAGGAACGCCGATGCCATTACCTTCGATGTCGATTCGACTGTGATACAAGAGGAAGGAATTGATGAACTTGCAAAGTTTTGTGAAAAAGAAAACGATGTTATTGCGTTGTAAGTTTTCTTTTCCTTTAATTTCTTTTGTTTAAAAATATAACACATTTTTTATTATTATCATTATTATTTACACAACTTGCGGTTGACCGCTTTAACGGAAAGATGATCTATATATGTATTTAATTGCTTATATGTATATGTATAATATCCTAAAATGATTTTAGAACAAATCGGGCTATGCAAGGAGATCTGACATATCGACAGTCTTTGGTTGAGAGGTTGAATATTATAAAACCAAGCTTTATGCAAATAAAGCAATTTCTGACCTCACGTCCATTAAAACTTTCACCTGGAATTAAGTAAGAAATAATTTTTAAGTCAACGAGAAACAATGAAACTAGATACGTAGATGATTTTACAGTTGCTTATAAAAATTTTAGAACACTGATAACAGCTCTACAAATTCGTGAAAAACAAGTATTTTTGATATCCGGTGGATTTCGTTCTTTGATTGCACCAATTGCCACATGTCTTAATATTCCATTAGAAAATGTTTTTGCAAACAGACTTAAGTTCTATTATACAGGTTATTATTTGTTCATATTGATATAACGTTAATTTAATATAATATATCCAAATATTTTATGAAATCACTTGTAGGAGAATATGCAGGATTTGATGAAGATCAACCTACTGCAATAAATGGTGGGAAAGCAAAAATAATAGAGCAACTCAAAAATGAAAAAGGATTTACAACTGTTGTTCATATTGGTGATGGAGCAACAGATTTAGAAACTATTTCAGTAGTAGACCTATTTATAGGTATACCTTTTCATTACTTTAATTCTTAATTTTCTTTACTTAATATTTAATATCACTTTTATTATACAGGATATGGAGGAAATGTGATCAGAGAGAGCGTAAAACAACAATCATTATGGTATATTACTGATTTTAATGAACTTGTGAATATTTTGTAAACGTAAATAATACGATATTCCTTATAAATATTGCGATATTTGAATAATTTTAACAATAATCAATAAGTAAAGGATCAAAGTTTTATCAGTTTTTTACTAATATTTCCCTTACTCAGAAGTTAACTTTCACCATGTTTATCTACAAAATTTGAGACTATTATATATATAAGTTTACTCAGATGGTAGAAATTAAATTTATTCCAAACTCATCAATAACATTTATTTTCTTCGAGTCGAAAAGAAAACTTTATAACGAGTAGTTTTTACATGTATTATACAATAACAACAATGTTCAGCTCTATGCTTACATTGTTATATATACCGTTACAAGACAATTCTTTGCACAAAGTACAGTGTTAAAAATTTTATAGAATGACAATAATTACAGTACACACTTAGTATCTGTACATATTTATGAGGATTTATATAGAAAAATATACACCTCTCTGTAAGTTATGAAACAACAAAATTTAAATCAAATATCGCAAAACATCGGACTTGCCATTGATTATATTTAATAAATCTGAAAATTAAGTTCTTTTTTAAAAAAGTCAGAAAGTATTAAACGTGAAAATTATACTTTGATATTGACTTGCTTAACTTTACTGACTATGTTTCATTCTTTGGTAATCAATGGTAATTTCTCGTCTTTTCTTGCTTCTTTTGTTGTATCCATTCTTGTACTCTACATTGAAGTTCAACATTTGATTTTACCATATCCATAGTAAGAGGAGATCTATTGAACGGGTCGGTCTGATCGCTTAATAAGTGCCTAAACAGCATTAACGATAAAAATAATCAAATAAATATTTTGTTGTAACAAACGGCCTGAATAATAGCAATGACAAAGAAATACTAACCTTGCAATGGTTTGCCGATCTATAGTTATCCTTGATGATGGAAGAATAACGGGATCTGTCATTAAAGTAGACATAATTGGATCTAGAAACTCATCAGGAGCATCGATTAAAATTTCGTCTTCCTCCTTCTTATGACTTGCGGCTGTCTCGACATTTTTTGCAAATTGATCTAAATCGCCTAATATACCCACACCACCGATACGAACTGAAATTTTATTGTCTTTAATCGGCATTTTCAATCATTTATAAAAATTAGAACAATATAGAATATACAAATCATGGTATATTTTATGCGTCTGATAGTAATTAAATTTTGCACAGATATAAGTACCAAGAACATTATCAGCCAGTTTGAACAGCTCCGGGCTGTATGAACGACCATCTTGTGAAACAGCAAGCGTAAAAGATTCACTCTGACTAAGATTTATATAAATTTCGCATATATTTAATACTAAATTTGCTGGATGGAATGCATACTCTTTTTGTCCATTAACCTAAAATTAAAATGGTTAATTCCAGCATTCTACAGTTTAAATAGGAACATCTAATTATTCAATTATATTTGTTACCTTTAAATTCTTTTTATTCGGCCCAACCAGCTGAAGCAACAAATAATTAAGCATCGAGGCAATACGATCCACCATTGTTGGATGACAAAAGATGGATTTTATTTCTGTAGTTAACATTTTTAATGTGTATATAGTTTTTCTACCTAATATATTGTCAAATCGTGCAATCATTCCAAGATGTATGAGATAATGAGCTTGTTGCTCACGTTCATGTTGTGGTAGTTTGTTCCATTCTCCACTTTCCCTTTTGATTGAAATTATTTTTCATTAATCTTATTTAGTAAATATAAGATTTATACAAGTTAGCAAAGTAAAATTACATATTGCTGATTAAATTAATAAGTAATAACCAAATTGAATACCTTGCTTGAATCAATTGTTTCAATTGAGCCATACTTGAAAGTGCTTCATCTAATAAGAAAACTGCATCATTCATTAAAAGATTTATAAAACGCAAAAATAATGGAGGCTGAGCTGCTTCCATATTGGCTTCTGCTTCTTCTGCTAAAGCACTGTACATGAAATCATTATCATACAACACCATATAATATGAATTATAGGGTTACTATAAAATATAAATAATAATAAATTTAATAAACGACTATGAAAATATATTATCTTTGTTTTTTGCTTACATGAAATTATTACGATGTTCTGGTAATTTCCACAAGTACTCCATAACAACATACATTGGTCGCCGATAATTAAACTTTTGTTCAAATTGTACACTTTGTCCAGTCATTTCAATACTCACGAATACTTTAAGTAAATTCAGAACAATCTAAATATATAATAAATAATACATAATAAAATAAAGTTTTATGAGAGAAAAAAATATTCCATTTTATGAATTTCAAGCAGGTTACATACATATTGTCTATATGGATGTGTGATAAATAATTGTTCTCTATGGAATGTCCCTAAGCTTGGTGTTACAGGGCTCATAGTTTCATCACTTGTAGGTAAAAGTGCCTCTAAGCCTTCTGCTAGACGTGCACGTAGATGAGGATTATATAAACGTTGTTGAGACTCCATTAATACTATGATCTGATATCACATACTCGATTATTTTATTAAATCGTATGTATTTTTGCTGTTTTTAACATATTGCTGCTAGCTCACCTCTGTTAATACAGGCGTTAGAAAGGATGGCCCTTCTTCTTCAAAAATATTTGGATTTATGCGTCGTAATAAATACAAAAATCTAATAGTATTTTCTACTACAAATTCCGGAATGCATCTATGTAAAAATAATGGTGTTGTTAAATATTAGTTGTAATTATTAATATATATAATTGAAACAAAGCACAATATTTAGAAGATACCTCAAAGTATCTGGAACAGTTCCTGATAAAGGGAACTTCACCTCTTTACATTCCTTTGGAATGTAATTTTCTTCATTTTCTCCAATCTTTGTGTCATTTAAATATACTTGTACTAACCAAAATGCTGTTGTTGCATGAAATTTTGCTAGGAGTTTTAGCATCTCTGGTACTAAAAGGCTTGCTCTTAAAGATAAATACCTACAATTTGAGATATAAATTGTATATAATAAATTATGCAATATAAACTTTTATGGTAAAAAAGAGAGAAAAATCTTGTTTTTATTCTTAAGGATCACAAATATATACTTGGTCATTTCTCCTTCCATGCGTTGAGTTATTATATCAAATATATCCGATCTACCACCATTCTGTGCATCCTGATATATTCTCTGTATTCTTACCAAATCCTGGTTTGCTCTAAAATTCAACATATAATTCTGTTAATTACCAATATTCTTTTATCATAAATCTTGATTAAACTGGGAAGAAAAATTTAATAGTCAAACCTTAAAAGTTTGTCTAACACTACTCTGTATCCAAGATCTAATGCTCTATGAGTTAAGAAAAAGCATTCAGTAGTAAAACCAAATGTTTTTGCAACTGGTCTGGCACCATCTTCTGACATTGGTATCAAACAAGTTTCTGAAGACATTCCTTTTAAATGTATATTTGAATTTATACATTCATCCTGATCATTAATCTAGACAGTTGTTATAGAATAGTACATTGTTAAAAATTTGACAATTAATCTTAGTTCTATCATTTTTTGTAAATTGACTTACATCTGCAGCACAATATGTTGGATCAATTTTAGGCACTTTAGAATCATTTTGTTTAATGCAAAATGGTTGACAAAGACGCAATAGCACATTTCCTAAATTTAACATAAAACCATCAGAAACACATAACATTGAGTTGAAGGTCACATCATTCTGGGTATTCCAAATTTTTCCTCTATTTGCATTTGAATGAAGACAATTGCCTATCCATTGTAAAGTTAAATGACGAACTTCTGTTGAACATTTTAACAGTAAATGAAAAACCTTGTGCAATGATTCATTTAATGCATCTAAAGCTGTCCAAATATTTCCTTCAATTGAAGTCTACATGATAGAAAATATATATAAATATTATTCCATGCATAATTTAATTCCTTTTGTTCTTTTTTTTTTTACAGTTTACTTGCCTGATGCAATGGCTTCTCAAAAAAATAAAATGGCTCTTCTATCGTTTTTGGTAAACAGTTCAAGCTAAAAAGTGCACCTAATAATGTATCTGCATATGCTCGGCCTTGATTGCTTTTAGGAGTACTATGATCAATTACTAATTTAGCTAAGGGTTCTATCGAAGAAAAAAGATTTAATATAGTAAACCAATATTGACGAAAAAGGAGAAGATTACTTTGTGCTGCTTCTTTGTAAATTATATCAAGAATAGGATTAAAAGACACAGTTATTGCAATCATAGTATTTTCTCCATTTTCATCTTGCATCTCGGACACAATACCATTGACAAATAATATAAATTCTGATTTGAGCCCAGTTTCATCCATACATAATGCAACAAACTGGTTATAAATCTGTAAAAAAACAAGAAAAATAAATGAAAGTCCTTTAAATTTATTATATTTAACTTTGCAAAATACAAATCTCATTAATTATGTAAATGTACATTGATATACCTCTTGTTCTTCAAACAATTCTGGCTCTTGTAGCACCAAACTTGCATTTTGTAATATAATCCGACTTATTTTACAAAGGACATCAGATAATTCTGGTTTGTTTTGATACAGTTGTAATCGACAATAACTCTCAAACAAATAAGGTATTACTTCTGTTTCTGTTATATGAGGATCGCTAAGAATTTGTTGAGAATTGTCTATAGGTACTAATTTAGATTCAAGATCAGATAACATTAATCGTTCAAAAACTGCTTGTTCGATCGAATCAACATTAACGAGAACTAATCTTCGTTTTTGGTGTTCATTTGCTCCTATTTCGTGTAATGTTATTCCAAATACATCGCCAAGAAGGCGGTTAACCTGATTATCGATTCTAGAATCTTTGGAACCTTGCAAATTTTTTATTTCCGTAATATTGTCAACATTTTTATCTTCAGGTTGCGCAACATAACTAACTCTATTACTTTCGTTGATAATTGCCTGACTTTGAGAGGAGAATGACACGGCATCGTTGATAGTTGAAAACAACCCAGCAAATGGATTGTTATTCACATTGTCGCACATGATTCTCTCGTTAAAACTCAATCACAATTATTGCAAGCATAATTATTCTGAAAATAAATTGCTATGATTTAATTTTCAACCTAAAATGTATTACAAAATAAGCCAAAATATTCTCCTGAATACTGCACACTACTCTGTATTCGTTCCGTCGTAGAGCATATACGTGTGCGCACGCGCCTGGTGTGCGTATACGTATGCGCGCGCACCAATGGTTGGATAAATCGAATTTGCTATAAAATATTGTTACATATATGTATATGCTTTTATTATTCATTTGCCACAAAAATTTTCTTTGTTTATTGATATAAAGTTCAATTTTATGTTGAAAACCAAAAACAAATTGTGTACGTGACCAAATTTATTTATTGTATAAATGATTCCTGCAAATATGAAAATAAATTTTGTATGAAACGAATTTATTAAAAAATTCAGGCACAAAGTGGGTTTGTTTACATATTTTAACACAATGTACACATATTAAATTAAATAATAGAAGGCACCATTATATCAATTTATCGCCAAGGTTTTCGTACAGTCCCAGCGCTGGTACTTCTTTTAATACTCTCATCTGCAAGTTATATAATTATTGATATTACACTGATATTGATGACTTATGTATCATGTAGTAAATGAGTTAAATAATAATATATACATATATATATGTATTAATACAATTTGTAAATTAATTGCAGTAATAAATATTATGACTTGACATTATAATAAAAGAAAATAACTTACATAAAATGTTTGAAGAGATAAGTCTTTCCTTAATATCTGAAGTCCAAGTTTGACATCTAGATCTAGACAAACATGAACGAACAAACGAAGTTGGTTGATATTCTTCCATCCTACCAGGAAAAAATAAACAACAAATAAATGGGAATTTATATATATATAATTATAGCTGTTGGTTTAAACAGCAGTATGTTATGCTAATATAAAAATGGAAACAGTGTACTGGATACATGATTATTTTAGAAATTCTATTTGCTATAGAAAAAATTAAATATTGAGAATCTAAATAGTGAGAATAAAAAGCATACTTCTGCAATACTAAATATACATTTCATATTACATACTAATTATGTTCATTGATAAATTTATGGTACTAAATTCATTTAATACAAGCATCTAATAGCAAATAATGACATAATTTATTTTGCTTCAATAACATAACATTCTACATTTGAAGAATTCATAAAAATTTCTGTTAGAAAACAAAGTAAATTTTACTATGCAGAGTCATACTCCTTCAGTTTTTTCCTGGCTAAAGTCCGTTGAGTTGCAAACGAGTATGATCTTGCAGATGATGGACGTTCTATACGGGATTTTTTAATTTCACGATCTTGCGCTATTACTTGCGTTCTTTTCTGGGGATTTTGGGCAAATAACTCCACTATATTCATAGAAGCTGCGTCACACTTTTAGAAATCATAAAATTCTGATGAATATCCTTCCCTTAAGAATTTTCATATTTTAAATAACAATTATTTTACTTATCAACAGTAATAAAATAATGGATTTTAGAACACTTTAAGTAGATTATTATTAAAATAATATAAGTAGAAATTATTTGTTTTATTTTATCTTACTGTCAGCTAATTACTATCAAATTGATACAAGTGAGAAGGAAATTTTTCTTCTTAAAGTTATAGACGATATGATAAAAAGGAAACAAGACTTTAATAAATTTCTTAATATTATGAAAAACGAAGTGCGTTGAGTGACATTTTTTTATTACAATATTTAACAATATTACCTGTAATTGAAGCCGATGTAAAAAATTAAATTCTGAACGATTAAGAGGTGCATCAACATGAAGTTTAAGCATGCAATGCAAAGCTTCTTTGTATGTGTTTTTTAAAGCAATCACACGTTCGGTTCGCATCATTCTACGTACTAAATACCCCCTTGCATATGCGTTTATTACATTTACTGCTTTAATCTGTAGCAAAAATAATTGTGTAATTTGAAATACTATTTAAATGGAAATCTAAATATAGAATATAAATACTTACATGTTTAGTTTCATATATTGTCCTCTCAAGGACCGGTACATGAGTAGTTTTGCTATCTAAAGGAAATAATTCTCGACTAACGTTTGAACGTTTACTTGTTTCACCCTCCTCTAATAATCTTTCTTTGTAATTTACATCATTTGATTGCATCTCTGTATTTCTTCCATTTGTTTTTGTCAGAGAATTATTAATGTTGACTGAGGGTTCTGTTTCTGATGATTGAGCTGTATATGAATATCTAGTAGAACAAGGAGCATTATCATAATTCATTTCAGAATAAATATAATTCAATGGACAGGAAGTTATGTTCGTCCTATTATCTTGTGAATGTTCTACTTCATTCTTTTGTTCTAGATTATTTTTTAATGTTCTAACATTTTGCATATTGTTTTCATCATTAAAAGCAGGAGACAAGATATTTTCAGAGAGCAAAGAAACTGAAATTTTTGGAAAGGATTTTTTAATCTCAGTCAATAAAAGTAACTGTTGTTTTTCAAATTCCTTTTGTAGTAATGTTTGTTCCCTGTGTTGACGAAACATTAATTCAGCCATCTGATTCTTATGCATCTCTTGTACCTTTTTGTAAACTGTTAGAAGTTTATCAGATGCAATAGTAGATTTCAATTTAGGGATTGGTTTATCTATATCTGTATCTTTCGAAAGTTTTTCCATCAAATTATTAGTTGCATAAATGCTATTGTGCTCATTTAGATCTTCCAAGGAACCACCAAGTTTACATACTGGATTAAAAGTGCAAGAGCTATTATGCTTGTTCCATGTTTGTAATCTATCTATGTTTTCATTGTTATTATCTACAATATACTTTTCATTGTGATTAATTTGTATATCGCTTCTATTAATACACTCTTTAGCTAACATCGTTTGAATGCAATCCGCAGACTTTGTCGATGGACATATTACAAAAGAAGATTCCGGTTTCGTTTGTAAAGAAATGGACTTACACATTTTACGATTAGTTTTATGATTAGAGTTTCTTATAGGAACAGATTCTTTATTTTCAGGTTCATACTCCCACTCAATTTTAGCTTGTGTAACATTCCATTCTTTTTGTTGGTTCGTATTCTCGTAAGATGTTGGAACATATTCTGAACATGGAGCACAAGTTGAAGTAGCAAGTTCCATTTGCATGTGTGCCAATAATATTGGACTTGGAGTATCTAACACATAGGAACCTTGACGTACTAATTTAGGAGTATCTCCTAAATTATCAAAATTACTTTCTTGGCAATCTCTATCTCCATTACATGTAGATTTATTCAGTGTTAATGGAGTAATATTTAATGTTTTAGGCACTTGTGGTTTCCAAATATCTGATATTGTTTCTGTACTAGTAGATTCTATTGAAGCTGTTTCATTTAAGCAGTGATCTCTATCAACGCTAGCAGTTATTGATTTTGATTTTGAAACAGTACCAGGTCCCAAATTTACCTGATTTTCACACCTACATTCCCTGTTTAAATTTTTACTAGATTGTAATGTTTTTTCTAAATTGTCATTAGAGCTTCCACAAATTTCTATTGGAACATTGTTTATATCCACAGTATTAGTTTCATTATAATTACTATTTTTGCATTCAAAAGAAATTAAATTCTCTCTTGAACCATGAACTCTTTTTTTACATTTTATATCCCTTGATTCTTTTGTAACTTTTCCTATATAAATATTACTATTATTACATTCTTTAGCAATGTGTGAAACATTCAACTTTTTTTCTATATTTATTGCACTTTTCTTATAATTGGACATTTCCTGTTTAATATCTTCAGTTATCTAAAAAAGATATATTTTATCACAAAATTAATCTTAAATGCTAATTATATATAATATAATGCCTATATAATATAGCGCATACCATTGGTGGTAAAATAGGAATTCCATTAATCTTGATACATGAAACATATGAATGACCTTCCATAGTTTTAACTTTTTAAATAGATCTGCTAAAAGTGATAGGAAACTTATACATAAAGAAAACATCTATTGTTTAAAAAAACTTATTAAAGAAAGAGTAGGATAATAATAATAATAATAAGTAAAATAAATTTTCATATTAATAAAGGCAATATTGTTAGTAAACATTCTGTTTGTTATGTAAAGATGTAAACAAGATAATTAAGTGATAGTTATATAATAATCAGAATAAAAATAGAGTAAAGCATTAAAGATAAATCAGAGTTTGGGATTGCATGCTCAAATATGTGCACGCATGTATATTAATTTGATTATTTGTTTATTTACATATAATAATTTTATTACATGCATATATAATTGAAATGAAGTTAATGAAGCAAACACAATATCATCCAACAATTTCCTTTCGTAATGTGTCTCAATCTCTTTAAAGATTAATTTATTTAGCAAATTTGTTTGTCAGAACTCATCACATTTCATATTATACTTACTGTTACTTTGTATTTTTTGATAAACATTTTATCCAATACTAACACTAACGTTAGAAGAAAACTATTGAGTACATTTAATTTTATTTAAATGAATAAAAAACGGATATGCATTTTCAGTTTATTCATTTACATATTCATATGTATCGATGTATCGATGATACTATATCGGGACAAACTTCCAAAAACTAATATTTCATTAATTATTTATGCATTTTTTCATTATGAAAACATCAAGCTCTGATCACAGACGAGAAAAAGAATAAATGTGACATCGACATGCAATGATCCAATGCTTTTTCGTACCCACGTTTTGGGGTTACTTAAACCTAACCCAACTCTTTCCCTTATTGTGCAACGGGCACATCCATTTACTTAAATTGCGTAGGTAACGTGCAACGAAGGAAGCGAACGGAATGCATCAAAACTGAGTGAGATACATCGAAACATAGCGAGCAATGAACTGTAAAATATTGTCATAGTAACAGATACAGAGCTTCAAATATGCGTTATCTTAATAAATCTACACATATTATCTCTTGCTGATATTTAAATTCTACTACTATGTCAACACTGAGAGTGGTAAAAGTGGAAGCAGGCGAATTACCTCTTGTTCCCAGTAACACCTAGAGTGAAGACTTCTCAAATAATAAACAGCAAATGATTTTTTAACATGTTACGCATAAAAAATTAATCACGTACTAGGTTAAATGGTAATTATTTAGAAGTTTATTCTCACTATCGATTTCGATCGTTTTTGAACGTATTATCGGAGGCATGATTTTGAACAATTTTTTTCTATTATACATGTAACCAGCGCTCGGCCTTAGTTTCCGAGATATTTACAAAAAATTGTTGATACCACTACAGTGAATTCTGTCTATAAATGTACGTTCGTGGCAGCATATTTGTTAGCATTGGTTGCCGCCAGGATAAAATGACCTAACCTAATCCAAACCTAACCTAACCCAAACCTAACTCATCTTTTGTTTATATTATACAAGGTGAATCACCAAAAACGAATCATCTAAATAACTTTCAATTTTTGAGATACAAAGAAACATTTGAAACAAAAGTTGTTTGGTTACGAGAGGACTATTACGTAATAGAAAACATTTTTCTCAAGTGGTCGTGTTTAAGAATTTTGAAATTTCACGACTCAATTTCAGCATAATTTCTTCTATGCGATTTTCGGTATATGAATATCGAGTCCACGATCATGTAAACAGGTTTCGACATTCATACATGCCACATGGAAGAAAACATTCTAAAATTGAATCGTTAAAAATCAATATGAAAAGTAAGGAGAGTCTTATTTTGCACATGTGCGACATGCTATGAATGTCTCAGACAGAGACTAAGACAATTTACCCATCTTTGTCTATTTCACAAAAGCGAAAATTTTGTTGTCTTTCATGTTGATTTTTCACGACTCAATTTTCGGTTTTCCCTAGAAAGTCAAGACTTGTTTATATGATCGTGGGTACAACCGTGTTCAAGTAATCACGATCTAGTTGTCATTTGAAAACCACCACCCAGAGGTTAGAAAACCAATATTCCCTACTAAATAAAATAAAACCCTATTTAGTTATATTCCAAAGTATCCAAAGCTAACGAAGTAATGATATATAGTTCACTACCGTTGTACATAGAAATTATTAAAATGAATAATGTCGATGTCTATCTAGACTCGTCTTGTTATCGAAATATCAATTATCTGTGCCTGGAAACGATGATTCTTAGTACGTGTATAAAAAATGTGAAGCAATAATAATAGAAAATGTCTTGTTACATATGTATGTAAACATTACGCAATAAGCGGTTTCCAGGGGAAACGAATCTGACGGGACACCGCGAAAATTGTAAATCGAATCGTGATCGTAACTTCTCTTCTCAGAACGGTGATTCCAGTTTTGTTCCAAGTGTAATTGAGTCCCGTGTGCGAACCCAGTGACCGTGTCTTATCACGGCTGGAGATTTTACCCGTGAAATGTCAAAATGGCGTCTTCACAGGACGCTTGGTATCTGTCGTTGTTAGGACTAGCAGAAAACTTTCGAACCTCGAGTCCACCGAATATCAAGTCATGCATACAGTGTTTACAAGCGGTCTTCAATTTTAAACCACCTCCAAGAGTCGAAGCACGCACCCATCTTCAACTTGGTAATATCCTTCTTACGCATACCAAAAACATCGATTTGGCGCGGTCTCATTTAGAACAAGCGGTAAGTTGAACTATTATTTGTACTTTAATTAATTACGTACAACTTTTTCTTCTAATATTGTATTTTATTTTTATCGTGCACTACGTGGAAATTTCGATACATCTGTTTATCCTGATTCTAACCTTTCTTTTTATTTTGGTACAGTCGGTAATACATGTATAAAATTATGAGTGATTAAAAATCAATTGATGTGTTAATCTGTATCTGTGTGTACTTAAGCGATGGTTTAATTTTTGGATAATTGATAATTTAATATTTGGATAATTGATATTTGTTAATTGATGTGTAATATTGACATTATGTTTTAGTGGCGATTGAGCCAGAATATAAACACTTTTGATGACGTTAAGTTTGAAGCAGCAAGTGTGGTTGCAGAACTGTATGAGCAACAGCACCAATCAAATCTAAGTAAACCTATATTACGGAAGGCTATAGAACTTTCTCAACACAATGTGTATTGGCATTGCAGACTTATTTTCCAACTTGCAGTAAGTTAGAGACTGTTTTAATTAATGTCAATAATGAAGCAGTTGTTTAATGATATTTTTGTGTAATTTAGCAAATACATGCATCAGAAAAAGATTTTGTCGCAGCTAGTAGTCTACTTGCAGTGGGTGTTGATTATTCTCATATCAGCAATGCAAGTTATACGAGAGTTCTATTCTTATTGAGCCGATGTATGCTTTTATTAATAGACAAAAAGTTTACTGAGGTTCATCCGCTTTTAAATTCAGCTGGACACCATGTTGAAAATTGGCAGGGTAGTCCACATCAAAAAGAGTATTTAAAAGTATATTTTTTAGTACTTCAAGTTTGTCATTATTTAATGGCAGGACAAGTAAGCAATGAATAATATTTTGTATTTAATAAATGTATGGTAACTATTTATTTATATTTAAATTTTTCTCGACAGGTTAAAAGTGTGAAACCTTGTTTAAAGCAATTGCAACAAAGTATACAAACTATAATGTCTCCTAGCTGGCCACCGGATGAAATAGTTACGGGTTCTAATATCGGAGATATGTTTATATGGATGCCAAAGGACCATTTATATGTTTTGGTGTATTTAGTAACAGTTATGCATTCAATGCAAGCTGGTTACATGGATAAAGCTCAGAAATACACAGATAAAGCATTGACTCAAATTGAAAAGCTCAAAAGTAAATGCAACGACTTATCATTTTAATAATGTTATTATGACTTCCTAGTTAAATTAACATTCATATTGTATTTTGCAGTTGTTGACAACAAACCTATACTTTCTGTTTTTCAATTAATGTTGTTGGAGCATATAGTAATGTGCAGACTAGTAATGGGAAATAAAAGTGTAGCTCTTGCAGAAATTTCTCAAGCTTGTCAGCTTTGTAGAAGGCAGCCAAGGTTACTTCAAGGTCATAAGCCACAATTGCATGCTTTATTGGGACTATATGCAATGTCTATGAATTGTATGGAAGCTGCAGAAGCACAATTTACTGCTGCTTTAAGAGTAGGATAATAAACAAATTAAATATTATTAAATGTGACTTTTTAGTAGTATTGTGAAAAATAATCTCTTTTACAGACATCACAAGAAAGGGAATTGTGGACTTTCGCGAATTTGAACTTGGCAATAGTATATCTTAGGACAAAGAGGGATGCTGATTTAGGTGCTTTATTAGAACGAATAAATCCCGAGTCTTTACCATCTCATTCACACTCTTTAAGGGCAGCAGCATATTATGTTCAAGGTCTCCAAGCGTTTTTTGGAGCGAGATACAACGAAGCAAAGTACGAATCGATTATTATACTTAATATCTTTCAAAAAGCCATCAAATGTACCTAAACATATAAATATATTTATAGGAGATACCTCCGGGAAACTCTAAAAATGGCTAATTCTGAAGATTTAAACAGACTCACGTCGTGTAGTCTTGTACTTCTTGGACACATATTTCTTTCTTTAGGAAATAGTAGAGAGTCCATGAACATGGTTACTCCTGCGATGCAGTTAGCTTCTAAAATACCTGATGTTCATGTACAATTATGGGCTACTGCCATACTTAAAGGTATATAGAAATTTGGATGTATTTAAACAACAGAAGGTTCATCTCTAAATGACTCATCTTTGTCGATAGATTTGTATAGAATTTGTGGAGATCCGAATCGCGAAAGCGAAGCATATCAAATGCATTGCACGTTTTCGCAAACACTCTTGAAAGATCACTTTCAAAGTACACAAATGGGTGAACATAATCTTATACAGTGGACTGATGGGCCTGTGCCTGCTTTGCCGAGTAATCCACCACCTTCAACGTCACAAGCAATTCTTTAATAATATCCAAAAACTCGATAGTCTGTATGTTCGAAATGTGTAAACTATTTGATGGAGCACAGAAAGGTGTTAGGTTTGTACAATTTGGTTATCGAATTATATAGTGAACAATAGAATCAGAGGTAATGATAAAAGCATGAGGCTCTCTTAAACGAGAGAATGAAGTAGGTTGAATCACAAACAGACTAATTAATTGCGATTAAATCGAAGAGAGCAAAAATTTAATTGTTCAATGTGGGTATTAAATAATATCCACAAAAACTCATTGTTTATTATCTAAATATTTTCGGGTAACTAAAAATCACACAGAATTTCATTTGCAGAGTTTCATAAAGATTATATATATACTATAAGTTTGTACAAACAATTTATTGTAGTCGTTTTCTATGTCACAGAGATACACAAAAAAAGTGAAAATATGTAGAAAATATTGATATATTTTATTATTTTGTAAATTGTAAATTATCTCGCGACTTTTTTCCTCATAAGTGTAAATCTGCAAAAAAGAAGAGAGAAAAGTGGCAGTACTATCGCTCCAAGTATCAAAATAATTAAATGCATTTTTCAATGTAATTATTATACCATTGCACAAATACTATTTTAAAATTAACAAAAAGTTTAATTTATGCTATAAAAGTGATAGATTTTGATACGAATGTTAAGAAATATTTGTTGTTGGTGCTAAATTAAAGGGCACATTAAAATGCGTTAATAATTTAAGTCTTGGAAAATCTTATTTGCCACACGGAGAACAATATTTCCGGCCAAATCAATTTTTCTTTATATGATAGTTACTCTCTGTAAGTAATTTATCTAAATTTGACATCCTAAGAATAACCTAACGTTATTATTTTGTAACTTACATCGGTTTTATTCACACATTTTTTTAAATTTATAATTCATACAACTTTTTAGGTTTACATAGCACGTTGGCAAGTATGTTTTGAATTAAATTTTAAATCGAGACTGATAAAATTATTATAATAAAAGAACTAGATAAATATGGATCAGAGATACGATACGTGGGTGCATATTTCAGAGATTATGAATTTGTACATTTATGAAGATAAATTTAAATAAAATTGAAACATTTCACGAAAATAAAGAATTGGATTGGTAAAAATGAAGAAAATAAGAATAAAATATTGATAATATTTCCAACGTACTATGCTCTTCAATGACCAAAGTAGGTTTTTAAAATTCGGGCTGTGGACACAACAGAAATAATTGTATGTTCATAAACGTGTACCCTTACATATGGGGAAATATGTTGATAGGTACAATAGGTTGCAAGATGTTCTTTGAGAAACAAAAGAAGTATCGTACCTATCGTATGCGTGGTGCGTATCAGTTGATGTGTTTTTATTCAACAATGTATGTATATAATGTATAATTAAAATAAACACAATCGTAAGTAGTATTAGATAGAGCAATATATGAGAAAGGAAAAAAAAAATAAAGG